CCAGAGTTCAGCCCCACGACTGGACCCCCCCCCAAAAAATCCACCAGAAAATAGTTAAGTTGTGTCATGTAATGTAAGCTTGGAATGCATGTGGCTGTGTTTATATATTACATTTTTCTATTTCCAATAACTTCATTATCTTCTTATTATCTTATTGTTGTTATTTTCTTCTTCTTTCTGATTTTTATTTGATCATGATTTAAGGTCTTTTTGAAATATTGTTGCATTCTGCTTGTTAACATTCCATTGAATATTTTTGCATGAATAATCAGACTCTGTGTCTATATATACATATATATATATAAATATATACATATATTATATAGTATATTACTCCCCCAAAATAATTAGAAAGCATTCCTTTCCTTCAACTTACTAGATGAGACTGTGAGACCTTTTTTTTTTTACCATCTGGTAGAAATCTCCAATGAAACTATTTAAATTTGGAGGTTCCTGAAACTTATAACAAATTAAATTTCCTGAAGCGCTTTAGGGTGTTATACATTATCTAGTTGATATTGTATGAGTTTTAATAGAGTTTGTTTATTGATAAATCTGTTCATTTTTTTCAAATTTATGAGTGTCAGGTTCATAATATTTTTATATTCTTTTTATATAGTCTACCATGATACTGCTTCATTTAATGCTATTAATTTATGTTCCTCTTACATTTTATCAATATTGTTAAAGGTTTCTCTACATTTGTTATTAAAAGTTAGGGAGTTGACTAGACATACTAACAATTAAATGTGTCTTACTCTATCTTTATTTCTTTTTCAGTTATATTGGTCAATTGTTACAAAGGGGCTGTAAGAAAGGCTTGGAACTTGCTTTGAACCTACCAGTGTATCAAATAGTCATACTTTTTTTATTTTAGTACCCAAATAAGAATAGGAGAGTGAGTAGTGACCCCTTGAGACTGTTGAAGTTATTCATTGTCCTCAGAATCATGTATACATCAAGCAGTGCAAGAAGGTGAACCAACATTCCACATCTATTCACCAAGTAAATATGTGCAGTTAGGTAGACAAGGAAATAATGTACTTGTTAAATTACTGGATCTTTTATGGATTTTGTTCATTATAAATAAGTTTAGCATTCATTTTGAGTACAACATAAAATATATTTTATAGGTCAGTAATCCTAGCTCTTCAGGAGGCTGAGATCTGAGGATCTTGGTTCAAAGCCAGCCCAGACAGGAAAATCCATCAGACTCTGATCTTCAATTAACCACCAAAAAGCCAGAGGTAGAACTATAGCTAAGATGGTGGATGCTATCTTTGACCAATAAAGCTCAAAGAGAGTGCCCAGACCCTGAATTCATACTCCAGGAACAACACAAATGTTTATATACACATATATACACATACATATGTATGTGATTATATAGGTATATGTGTGTATTCTATTACATGAATGTTTTTCCAATGAAAATATAGGGTTTTTTGTTGTTGGTGGTGGTGGTCGTGGGGCCTGAACTTTGGGCCTAGGCGCTGTCCCTCAGCTCTTCAGCTCAAGGCTAGCACCCTACCACTTGAGCCACAGCACCACTTGCATCCTTTTCTGCTTATGTGTTGCTGAGGAATCGAACTCAGTGCTTCATGCACATGAGACAAGCATTCTACCACTAAGCCAACTTCCCAGCCCCCAAATACAGTTTTTATTGTGTAAACACTCTACATATTCTCTAAGTAATTTAAATGTGTGGCAATTTCAAGGTAGCTGGCCTAATTAAAGACTTGTAGTTCTGCTAATTGCCCATGATATCATCTACTTAAAAGACATTAAAGTCTCTACTAGACAATAGCAGCATAAGAAATATTAATACAAAAAATCAGCAACTTCCTGTATACTAATAACAAACTTGCCATAAAGGAATTGCATTTATAAAAGACTCAAAATTAAAATGCAATACCCAGGGATAAACCTGAATGGGGAAAGGGAAATGAAACATTTCTACATTGAAAATTATAAGAAGTTACTAGAAGATGAAACTGCCTACCATATTTGTGGGTTGTCAAAATTAATATTTTGAAAAATGGATATATTACAGAAAGCAATCTACAGGTTCAAGGTAATCCTCCTCAAAATTTTAATGATGTTTTTGCAGAACTAGATAAAATAATCTTAGAATTCAAATAGGTACAAGCTGATGTAAGCTAAAAGAAAAACACTAGTGATATTGCAACACGTGACTTTATACTACATAGTCTCCCAGCAAAACAGCATGGTACAAGAACAAAAACAGACACATATACCAGTGAAAAATCATAGAAAATACAGAAACAAACCATTGCAAACCAGGCAGACACACATGATTCCTGACAAAAGTTGCAAAAACATAGGCTGGAGAAAAGACAGGCTAGTAAATAAATGTGCTAAGACAATTGGATATCTACCAGACTGAAACTTGATCCTACTAGAGTAAAATATAAGAAAGATCTGTGAACCCTCTAGCCTCTTAGTATTGACACTTTATTCATATAGAGCAATTTGTTCACATTTTAAGAGTTTTGCCCAACACAGTAGACAAAGAGTTGGATGATAACAGTGTACAAGTTAAAGGCTAAGGGCCTGAGTTCAAGGCCCAAGTACTAGGGAAAAATAAGTTAAAGGGCTTTTTATTTTCATATAAGTAATGTCTATTTTTTCTATTCGTTTTAGAGATTGTAGCTGTAAAATCTGTCTACAATTCTACATGATGTGAAAAATGAAAGTAATTATGATTACTAATGATGATTTAATTGTATAGTTAAATGTTTATTTCTAAATTTTTCATGCAAATAAGTTCATAATTAGGAAAACAAGTTACTTGGCCAGTTAATCAGGTTTTGTTTTAGTCTTGTTGTTTGGGCTAAAATGTACTCCAGGATGTCATCTGTGATTTGGAATATTAAAAAAAATGCTTAAGGGTGAGCCTTTAGAAAGCAATGTCCCTACATTGCCAAGCATGGAGTGGGATGTGTTTGATGGAAAGAAAAGCTTGGAAAACCTGAAACATGAGAAGAAATCAGAATGAGAGACGATTTGAGGAGTAGAAGCTGTGTGTTCAGAGTGGCTAGCCAATTGAATACAAGTACTTTCCAGATCTGGCCTTGAAGAGTCTCTATATGATCGTCCATTCTGTTTGTCTATCATATTGCTGGTTGAGCCATTTTCAGAGAAAAGCATCATAATCAGATGGCAATCCTGTGTACTGTCAGAGAGGAGGCAAGCCACCTCTCCATACACATGCTGAAATCATGAAAAAAAAAAAGGTTAACCACCGAGATATGGGCATTTATCAGTGACAATATAAGCTCTACTCAAAAACCTATAGAGCAAGATCACTCTCACTCTAAAAAACTATGATAAAATCATGTTGTTACATATCTGAATTATATACTAGATTAATGTGATCATCTTTTTTTGGTTGATTGTGGCTCAGGGCCTGGTTGCTATTTCTGAGCTTTTTTTTATTTTCAATAAATGTAGAAAAGCACATGAAAATTCATCATTTGACAGAAACCATTGCACAAATTTAAATAAACAGTTATCATCTCAAGATAATAAAAGCCATGTAAGAAAATGTACAGAAAACATATTATATAGTTCATAATTCAATGACCTGATTATTTCATTTTGCTCTCATTTTATTTATGATATTTGCATTCAGATTTGTAACAGATAAGAATGTCTAATGTTGTATACTTGCAATGTCTTTTTCTTGCTTTTTATGAAGGTAATATTGGCATCTTATTTTATTTTATTTTATTCTTTTTTATTGTGAAAATACTGTACAGAGGGGTTACAATTACATGGGCAAGATAATGAGTACATTTCTTATCAAGCATTGTAGCCTCCTCCTTTGTTTACTCTTCTCATCCCTTCCCAGCTTCCCCCAGCGCCCCCACCCAATCCTCCCTACCCCCACCAAAATTGTAAAGTTCATTTTTGACATGACAACTTGTACTTCTCATTGTTGCAACGGGTCCACCTGTATCCTTATTTAAATGACTTGTTTTTCCCCTTCCCCTCCACAAATTATACTGACATCAAATAGAGTGAAAGCAGGGGTTATACTGTGGAGGAGGGACATACAAAGCAACAAAGAAAAGACTTGGAAAAATTATATTAAGTGAAGTAAGCCAAGCCCAAAGAAGCATAGGTCACATGGTTTCCCTAATTTGCAATATCTAGTATATGTATGAGTCAAGCAGAAAAGGTCAGATACGGTGATGTTAGGAAAATGAACCCTAAGATATGTATTTAAATGTTTTTTTTCTTATCTCTGAGCATTTTAGCTCAAGGTTAGTGCTCTACTAATTTGAGCCACAAGGCCCCTTCTGGTTTTCGGGTAATTAACTGGAGATAAGAGTCTCATGGAATTTTCTTGCCCAGGCTGGCTTCGAACTGTGATGCTTAGATCTGTCTCCTGAGTAGCTAGGATTATGGACAGGATCCATCAGCACCTGGTTTGTTGTGATCATCTTGAGTTTAAAGTCCACTATGTCTTATTCTATATTTGCTTCTCTAAGTAAAGACAGGAATACAATAATTGCTTGAATTAAGTGAATGGTGATCTGAAATATACATTGATAGAAATATTTTAGGCAATGTGAAAATGTGATCTCAATTCAGAGTTTCCCTTATTTCAATGAGATGAACCATATTTTAAGCTAGGTAAAGATTATGAGACTCTAAGTAATTTGGGCAACGTGGACAGCCAACATTTTTGGAACTACCTCTGTCTGATTCTAGGGCCCATGTTACTTTTTTGAAACATGTGTTACAGAGCCTGTAGAAATCTTCAGCCCTTCTCCATGATCTTGTGCTTTGTCTTTTTCAGAAGTTCCTGAACCATATTTTGTCTCTGTGGTTCTCTGATGGAGATCAGACCATTAAAACTCAAGAAGTAACTTTTCATTGTAGGGAAACATTGTATGTTATTTTTCAAAATAATTTTTGATAAGTCATGGGCATTTATTTACATTTTATAGCCTATAGGTTTATCCTTTAAATAAGTGCCTATGGATTTTTTATGGTAAGGAAAAGTTGATTTTTTCCCCGAACAATGAGGTAGTTTATGATCTAATCAAAAATAAAATACAAGAGACTTGTTATCTTCCAAGGAGAACTCTGCAGTCCTTTGCTTGCACACTCCTTATTAGTCTCCTTGGAAATGGGTAATCACTTGTTTCCCTTAAATAGATGAGATGCCAACAAATATGTAATAGTGATTTGATACTTCAGCAAAGAAAAGTGCTCTAATGACAGCATAATAACTCTGAACAGGAAAAGTTAATAGCCACATTAGTGACAGCGTAACTATAGTGTGAGAAGCCCATAGAGCCTGAATTTTCTGCCTCCTCGTCGTTCTCTTTGTGATACTCACTCTTCCTTCCCAACCTTTGCAGAGCCCAAAACATGGAAGATGCAGAAAACCTTATAGCCTTGGTAATAATTTCTTCTTCCTCCTGTAAAAAAAGGTTCTCAAATTTATCAAACTTCAGGTTAATGATTTTCTAAAATAGGATCTTGAAACCATTCTTAAAGACACAAATGTGTGATGTGAACCTGAATGTATTGCATGTAGTGGGAGATTTTTCTTGATTTGCTACATGTAGGGTCATTGATCACCATTAGAATATTCTCTTTGCACTCTGATTGGTTGGCACAACTGTCATGAAGGCAAATCTAGCACTTACTATAGTCCTGTCATAGTAAAGCCTTGGGTAATTTGAGTGACTTAATTACATATGAAGATATAACTAGATGCAATAGTAACCTTTCACCCTGTTTTCCTTTCATATCGTTGCTTAATATCTATGGAAGGGGAGGTACTCATGACATATTGAAAGCCTTTGCTTTGCCATCATCAGAATTCATGATGCTTAGCAGCGACCCCACATTTAGAGGAAAATCAAGCCAGTGACACAGTCTACTACATCTCTGCCATCCTTCGTTCTTAGCTCCACTTTCTACACTTCCAGCTTCTCCTTCTACTTTTATATTTTCTCTTTTTAACTTTACACACCAATTCTGACCTTTTCCTTTGGAGTAGCCAAATGATATGATGAACTACATCTCCTTCAAAACATAACATAGCCCAGTACAAAAAAAAAGTTGCCACTGGAGAGTCAGAGAACATAAAACATAAAGAAGTATAAATATTTATGGCAATATTAGCCATCCTTGGCATTATTGCACAAGTTCTACAATTTGTCAAATACATCTTATACATTATTTCTCTTGAATCTTTACAACATGGGCATTACTGTCTTGATTTTATAGATGGTAAACTACTTGCCCAGAGTCATGTAACAGAGTCAGAATTTTAATGTTGGTTCCAAAGTCAACGTAGAGTGAAGTGTCATTCAAGAATAGCAAATAGTTTGCTACAAAAATTTTACTAACTGGAATCTTTGGAAGAGAAATTAACCAACCTCTTAACTATTTCCAAATCCTTGTTTGCCAAGGCATCTACCCTGATATTAATAATAAAAAGAAGAATAGATACTATTTAGGTAGTGCCTTCAATGTGCCAGATATATTTAATATGTTCAGATTATAACTAGTAGTTAAAACAAGGGACTTTGGAGTCAGACAATCTGTATTAAACCTTTATTTTCAAAAATCAGAGCCCTTGGGTCTCTATACCTTCACACTCCAAGTTTCTTATTTAAATAGTAAGAAATACAATATCACTTGTATTATAAGGTAGTGATAAACAGATGAGAAAACATACATTCATCTTTTGGGACTCAGGCTGCTCATAGATGGCATCCCACAAGTGTTAATTAAATTATTATCGATTTTATTATTGTATGCTAGTCAATCTGCTAAGAATTTTACGTACGTTACTTAACCCATTCCTCAGTAATTTCAATAGGTTTGCGCAACTGGAGTTGTAATTTTACAAAGATGAAAGATGAGGCGCATATATTTTTCTAGGGAAATGAGGAAGGTAGTTCTGAGCTAGTTTCTTATATATAGCCACTGTGTATCCAAAGCCAGGGCTGGCAGATCTTAGAGCTAGATTCTAGTTTGTGAACAAGAGAAATAGTTAGAAAACATGGTTCTGTTTTATGCCAGACTGCCTAGGAAACTTCAAGCCCTTGAACTTTTTATTATTAGTTTACACATTTCCCTAACCATAAGGATTGTCTTTATTTCCATTGCGTTTAATACTTTACATGAATACTTATCTGTACCCACTCC